TTGCCCTGGAGGGCCAATGCGCTGCAGAGTTTAGCTCCAACCCTGATCAAACTCACCTACCTGTGATTTTATAATGATCTTGAAGACATTGATGAGCATGCTCAGGTGTGTTTGATTAGGGTTAGAGCTAAACTCTGCAGGAAAGTGGATCCTGAGGGCCAGATTTGAGGATTCCTGCTGTAGACTGTCATATTGAAATGTTAACATTTTTAATAAAACCCAAGTGATCTGTTCCTCCGCTGAAAGTCTGTTTAGCATATTTTGATGTGATTATATATGTGCTTTTGTCAGTGTTAATATGTGAATAAAAGCCTAAACTAATTCTGTTTAAACCTCTCAATTCGTTTTTTTTTTTTTTTTTTTACAATCTAAAGAAAGTTACACTACCTTTACATTTTTTAAACATCACAAAATATATATATATAAAAAACTGATTATAATTAAAAAATACATAAACTAATACGAATACAAAGTTCACATTTAAAAACTAGAGATTTTGTTTTAATTATCTTAGATATAACTTTTATAATAACAACGAATCTTGAAAACTCACCGAGGGCTTTTAGAAGTTCCTCGAAATTTTCGGAACTTTTCATTTTCCAGGATCCAGAAAAGTCAGCAAACGTTCGCTCCGTGTTCGCCTCCATGTTTCTGCGTATCTTTGCTTTCAGACAGTTGTTCTGGACCGCTCTTCTCCTCTCATCCGCCGGCGTTCCGCAGTCTCTCTCTCTCAGGTCAGTCTGTGAATGAGCGAGTTCTCGACCAATCCGCAGCGTTTTGAATGTGCGCCGCTGAGTTTTCGACCAATCCGCAGCGTTTTGAATGTGCGCCGCTGAGTTCTCGACCAATCCGCAGCGTTTGCGCCTGTGCGCGTCTCATTGGCGCGTCTCATTGGCTTCTCGCGCACCATGTGCTTCCAGTAAAGATTCAGAAAGACCCCTATTTGCCCCACCATTTGGCTTGAGCGATCGGGTCATATACTGCTAATTCCTTTAGTTTCATCCTAATATGTGTTATTTGTCATTTAGCAGGCGCTTTTATCCAAAGCAACTTGCAGCATGATTTTTACAAGTCCACTTACTCCAGACTCCTTGTTCGTGGATCAAGCATCAATCACCTCCAGGGATTACTTTTAGTTACATTTAGCTATCATCTGAATCTGAAAGTATTCCATTATGTTTTGGAGATTTTGTCAAACAAGGAGCTTTTGTTTAAAAACTGAAATTGTGTAAAATACATGGAAACCCCCATATTATTCAGCTCCCTTTCTCTCATACAAACATGCCAACAAAGACATCTCATGCTGAGCTTTGTTAGTATTCAGACCACAAGAGTCAGCCATTGTCAGTCAATCATATCACAGCTTCAAATCTGGGCTCTCTTCGGTCTCTTGCTGAGAGCTGCTAGACTGATCTGTGTCTGTGTCCTAACAAGACTCTGGTTTTGATTTTGCATTTAGACCTCCTCTGAAGTTTTGAGGGACTTTATGTTTCAAATAAATTTAAACCAACCACTATTTGTTGAGAACATAACGATATATATTTTTTTAAATTATGTAGTAAAATCATATTTATAATAGTAAAATATAGTAAAACAATATAGAAAGTAAAATAAATGAATCAAGTAAAATATAAAATATCTTAATGTAAAATAAACTTAAAATATTTATGATATAAGGATATCTAAAAATGTGCCCTTTTCTACAAAAGTTACAAAAGTTTGTACAGCTGAAATAGCATCTGATTCTATATCAGGTATTAGATTTCTTTAATCAGTTCCATTCATTCTCTCCAAACCCACCCATTCACTCTCTCTTTCTCTCACTTTGCTCTAATCTGCTTCACTTCATTTCGTTTTTGTTCCTTTTGTGCACGTCTCCACATTCCTCATACAAATGGCGTGAAAGAAGCAGTGAGGAGACAAGAAGCAAATGGACTGTTTGAGTGGCCAAAAGGGAGCCAGGGAGGAGAGAAAGAATGAGGCAGTGTAAACTGAAACCACATCCTCTTCTCCAAATGCTCGGAGGTAATTACCAGCCGATTCCTGAGTTGCTCCCCACCCGTCCCTTTTCTCTCCCTTTACCCCCTGATCCCACCCCTCCTACCAAGAACATTTCAACAAGTCTGCATAAGAAATGATATCCCTGGAAATGGAAAAGAGGAAAAGCGGAGGGGGAAGACAAGTGAGAGAGAGAGAGAGAGAGAGAAAGAAACTGTATATTTTCAGTCAGAATGGAGACAGTGGCAAAAGTTCAAGCTGTTTTCTTGCTCTCACTTTGAATGCTTCCCCTAAAAGCACGTCAGCAAGTCTTTCTTTGAAGTGGTCGAGTCAATAAAGCTTCTTGAATTTGAATTAGAAAACAATCCTGATCCCACACTCACCTACTACTGACCCCATTATCCGGGAGACGATGAGGAATCCATGTATGAAAGAGAAAGACAGCGGAAGGAGGGGGAATATTTCTACATAAAAAGTCAATTGTTTGGAGACTAAGTGAGCAGTCTAACAATCACCGGTGCAGATGCCATAATAAACTGAAGAGCCTTTTATGTCACAAAACATAATAGAAGTTCAATGGGCCTAATGAATATAGAGCGGGCTTAGTTAAAGGGTTAGTTCACCCAAAAACGGGCCAACTTGATATTAGTTTTGATATTTTTAACCATCTTTCGAAATTTTATCATTACACTTCCTGTACCTCTGAAAAACCTAATTACACTTATACAATAATACTCTCTGGGAAGCATTTTTGTTGATTAGACAATAAATTAAGATACGTGTTTCTTAATAAAATGCTGTTATTCATTTTAAAAGTTAGATGTACATATAACATAAAATGCAGTATTTTAAAGGGATAGTTCACCCCAAAATGAAAATTCTGTCATTAATTACTCACCCTCATGTCGTTCCAAACCTGGAAGACTGCGCAACTGCAATGTTCCCAGACCCATGTCCATGTGACATCAGTGGCTCAACTTCAATTTTGCGAAGCTATGAGAATACTTTTTTTGTGCAAAGAAAACAAAATAACATAATTTATTCAACAATTATTCTCTCTGAGTTACCCTCTTCTGCCAGTACCACGACGCATGTGTGCGCTTTCCCCAGAACGTAATCAATGTAATCAGCGTTGTTTACGTTCAGGAGAAAACGCGCGCATGCGTCGTGGTATTCTCCAAAATGGCAGAAGAGGGTAACTTGGGGAGAATAATTGTTTAATAAATTGTTATTTTTGTTTTCTTTGCACACAAAAAGTATTCTCGTAGCTTCGCAAAATTGAAGTTATTTACTACGTTTCTGGGACTGAGAACGTTGCAGTTGCGATGCTGTCCATGCAGGGTCACTGAGCTATCAGATTTCATCAAAAACAACTTAATTTGTGTTCCGAAGATGACGGATGAAGGTCTTGCGGGTTTGGAACGAGATGAGGGTGCGTAATTAATGACAGAATTTTTATTTTGGGGTGAACTATCCCTTTAAAATACTGCATGTAAAGTTATATGTATGTCTAACTTTTAAAATGAAAAACGGCATTTTATTAAGAAACACTCCATGTGTATCTTAAAGGGGTCATATGATGCTGCTAAAAAGAACATTATTTTGTGTATTTGGTGTAATGCAATGTGTTTATGCGGTTTAAGGTTAAAAAAACACATTATTTTCCACATAATGTACATTATTGTTTCTTCTCTATGCTCTGCCTTTCTGAAAAGCATAGATTTTTACAAAGCTCATCGTTATAAAAAGCGAGGTGTGCTCTGATTGGCCAGCTATCCAGTGCGTTGTGATTGGCCGAATTCCTCACGGGTGTAACGGAAATGTTACGCCTCTTACCATATTGTGATGCCCTGTCCCGGCACTACGACATTATAAACGAGGCATTTGTTGCATCCAGTGGGGACATAATTACTGATTATAATGACTTATACTGTCTTTTTACGCGTTGCATCGCGCCGCGTAAACATAAAACCATGTCTGCATTTGTGATCGGAGAAATGACAAACAACAAGTGTACTCTACACTGCTCAAAACTCACGTTTGAATCATCAGTGGCAAATTCTTTAAATATAAAAAAACGTACTTACAGTCTTTGAGTCAGAACAG